TTTGTCGTGGCTTAAAATGTGGTCCCTTTTTTGTGACTCTGACATGGGTGTCTGAATAGAAGTATAGAAATTTCAACATAGATGCATGATGTGGCTGACCTATCATATGTGAAATTGATCTGTCTTATTAGTTATCAATATTTTTACTTTTTATTTTGAAGAAATTCAAAACTACAGGAAAATTACAAGAATAACGTCAATGAACTGCCATATATGCTTCACCAGCTACTCACACTTTGCCATTTGTATGTGTGTACAGGTATGTGTATGTGTATGTGTGTACGTGTGTATATGTGTGCATGTATGTATGTGAATGTGTGTGTGTGGATATGTATATGCAGATGTGGATATGTGGATATGTACATGTGTATATGCAGATGTGTATATGTGGATGTGTGTGCATGTGAAGGTGTGGGTGTGTATATGTACACATGTGGATATGTGGATGCATGCATATATGTACGTATGTGGATGTGTATGGATCTGTGTATGTATGTATGTGAATGTGTGTATGTGTTCATGTGTGGATGTGGCTGTGTGGCTGTGTGCATGTGTGTGTATATGTATGTATGTGAATATATGTGTATGTGTACATGTATGGATGTAGATGTATGTATATGTGGAGGTGTGTGTATGTGTGTGTATATTAATATGTATATGTTGATGTATACATGTGTGTGGAAGTTTAATACATGGATTGCGTGTATATATGTATGTGAATGTGTGTATGCGTATATGTAGATGTGTGTGTATTTGTGTGTGTGTATGAACCATTTAAGAGTAAGTTGCAGATATAACAACCTTTCACCCCTAGATTCTTTACCATGTGCCACCTAAGAAAAAGAACCGTCTCTGTCAACCACAGAGCAAATATTTAATTCAGGAAATGGAATCTTGATACAATGCCATTATATAATATCAAATATATTTAATATTATTTTTATTCACATTTCTCCAATTTTTCCAATATTCTCCTCCAAAGCAATATTTTTCAATCCATATTCCAATCCAGGATACTTATTTTTTGTTCCCGTTAACCTGTATGATTGAAAGAGATTTGGCAGACTCGTGTTGTGTACATTTCTCCTTGTGTTTTTTGTTTGCTGTCTATACTTTGATGCTACATCCATGTATATGCATTGGAGCACTGTGTTTGGTAATGAGATGTCATCCATTCGAGGATGTGTCCTTCCACCATAAGGTCTTTCCTGGGGATGAGGACACTTCTTCAGCTGACCCCTCCTAGATTCTCAAGCTGAGTAGACGGACTTGGCGAACTTGTGCCGAAGCAGCTGAGAGCCACCACATTTTCCCTAGAGGACTCCATTTAAGATCAAAAGGATCCCTGCATTTAAAAATCCATTTCTGGGGCAAAAAAGACTTCTGAAGATAAACTCTTATTGAGATAGTCCCTGTTCAGTAAGAAAAAAAAAAAGGCTGAGTGCCATGGCTCATGTCTGCAATTCTAGACTTTGGGAGACTAAGGTAGGAGGATTACTTGAGGCCAGGAGTTCGAACACTGCCTGGGCAACATGGCAAGACTCCATCTCTAAAAAAAAAAGAGAGAGAGAATAAAAAGGGTAAAAAATAAAATGAAAATAGGATAAACCAAACAGAAACAAATGAATCTAATATTACTTCAAATGAGTAAACATATCCATACTGGAGAAAAGAACAAAAAAAATTTTAATTAAAAAAGTTTTTCCAAGTAATTTTGAATCCAGTACTCTGTTTCTACTCAGTTTAAAACCAAAAAGAACTAAATAGATATTGAACTTCAATTAGAATGTTTGTTTATCTCAACGGTATGTGTTTGCAACACTGAAGCTTTTTCTGTATTATGTGGGATTAAGCAAATGAATAAATAATCAGAGCCAGGTTTCCCACCATTGAAAAGGGGAATTAGAAATGGTGAACTTGGCCAGTCGCGGTGGTGTGCACCTGTGGTCCCAGCTACTCAGGAGCCTGGGGTGGGAGGATACCTGGAGCTCAGGAGGTCTAGGTTCCAATGAGATATGATCACACCAGTGTACTCCAGCCTGGGCGACAGAGAAAGACCCTGCCGCAAAGAAAAAGAGAGAGAGAGGCTAGGCACAGTGGCTCACACCTGTAATCCCATCACTTTGGGAGGCTGAGGTGGGCAGAATACAAGGTCAGGAGTCTGAGACCAGCCTGGTCAATATGGTGAAACCCCGTCTACTAAAAATTAAAAAACAAACAAACAAAAAAAAACAGCCAGCATGGTGGCACATGCCTGTAGTCCCAACTATTTGGGAGGCTAAGGCAGGAGAATCGCTTGAACCCAGGAGACAGGGATTGCAGTGAGCCGAGATTGCACCACTCCGCTCCAGCCTGGGCAATAGAGGGAGATGCCACCTCAAAATAAAAAAAAAAAGAGAGAGAGAGACAGAGATAGAAAAAGAACAAAAGATCAGGAGAAAGAGCAATGGCAACAAAACCCAAAATAGACAAATGGGATCTAAACTAAAGAACTTCTGCACAGCAAAAGAAAATATCATTAGAGTGAACAGGCAACCAACAGAATGGGAAAAAAATTTTGCAATCTACCCATCTGACAAAGCACTAATATCCAGAGTCTACAAAGAACTTAAACAAATTTACAAGAAAAAACAAAGAACCCCATCAAAAAGTGGGCAAAGGATATGAACAGACACTTCTCAAAAAGAAGACATTTATGCAGCCAAAAAATATATGAAAAAATATATTTTTTTCATCACTGGTCATTAGAGAAATGCAAATCAAAACCACATTGAGATACCATCTCATGCCAGTTAGAATGGAGATCATTAAAAATTCAGGAGACCACAGATGGTGGAAAGGATGTGGAAAAATAGGAACGCTTTTACACTGTTGGTGAGAGTGTAAATTAGTTCAACCATTGTGGAAGACAGTGTGGCGATTCCTCAAGGATCTAGAACTAGAAATACCATCTGACCCAGCAATCCCATTACTGGGTATATAACCAAAGGATTATAAATTGTTCTATTATAAAAACATATGCACACATATGTTTATTGTGGCACTGTTCACAATAGCAAAGACTTGGAACCAACCCAAATGCCCATCAGTGATAGACTGGATAGAGAAAATGTGGCACATATACTCCATGGAATACTATGCAGCCATGAAAGAGGATGAGAACACCACATGTTCTCACTCATAAGTGGGTGTTGAACAATGAAAACACATGGACACGGGAAGGGGAACATCACATACTAGGGCCTATTGGGGATGGGGGGCTAAGGGAGAGATAGCAGGGGTGGGGGGGATGGGGAGTGACAGCATTAGGAGAAATACCTAACGTAGATGACGTGGTGATGGATGAAGCAAACCACCATGGCATGTGTATATCTATGTAACAAACCTGCACAATCTGCGCATGTACCCCAGAACTTAAAGTACAATAATAAAAAAAATAAAAAGGAAGAAAAGAAAAAACGCAGAAAGAAAGAAAGAGGGAAAGAGAGAAAATGAGAGGAGAGAAGAGGAGGGGAAAGGAGATCCATGGAAAGTACCAGATAAGTCTAGAATACTTTGTTGTGCCAGAACACATAAAGAAGTGCTCAAAAAATAATGTGATGGGCCAAAAGGGCCGGCTTGACAGCACACCCTCTGGAAAAACCCAGGACAACCTGAGCATCCAAATGATAAGATGGTAGCAGGTCATAATTCTTCTAATAAAGTAAGAATCCATAGACCATACCAGGATTAGTTAGTTATTTATCTCTTGAGAAAAGGTAAAGTCAATTAAATAATTTGAAACTGCTAGAGTAACAGAAGTCGCTAAGAAAGGCCTTTTCGTTAGCTGACCTATGTTCTAAGAACTGAGAAGGCAAAGTTGGATTATTCTTATCCAGAGAAATCCTCCTGAGGGCAGGACTATGGTGTCTAGGAAGAATGCTGTAGCCACAGAGCCTTGGGCTCACCCCTTGAGCTGGCTACCACATTCTCTGTAGCGTAGGTACTAGGGAAGGGGTCACTTCCCCAGATATGATAGCTGGAGAAATTCCAGAACATGCTGGAAGTACCCTGCCTCTGTCTGCTGTCACATTTATTTTCTATTGCTGTGTGATAAATGACCACTAAGTTGGGAACTTAACCAAGGCAAACTTAGCCTTGGTACAGGTTAATGGGGTCCTCTGCTCAGGGACTTCCCAGGCTGAAATGAAGGTGTTGGTTGGGGCTGTTATCTCATATGAGGCTTGGTGTTCTCACCCAGGCTCACTGGTTGTTGATGGAATTCATTTATCTGTGGTTGTAGGACAGAGGTCTCTGGCCAGGGACTCCTCTCATCTCCAAGGGGGTGCTCTGGTTCCCGGCCAATAAGCCCTTAGGTAATTCCCAAAGTGGCTGTTTGCTTCCTTCCTGGCAAGCACCAGGTCACCCTGGATGTTTTACCCTCTTCAAAAGGGCTCCCATGACTAAATCAGACCCACCCAAATAACGTCTCCTATGATTAACTCAAAGCTAACTGGTGAGTAACCCAATCACAAAAGTGACATCTTGTCATATTTGCAGAAGGGAAGGGTTCATACCAGGGTGTATACCAGAGGGCTGGAACCTCAGGGTCCCCCTTAGAATTCTACCTCCCACAACTGCTGGTAATAGGAGAAATTTAGCCAGGAATTCAGTCTCACTGTGATAATAAATCACTGTATAGATGATGAGAGTGGCGTATACCCCAAAACTTATGTATTTTGCTTAAAAATTTAAAAGAAAAAAAGCAGCAACAGCACTTGTGGTAATTCATCCTAAGAATATAATTGAAAAGTATACACTAAGGTATGTACAAAATAATGCCTGCAACATTGATTTTATAAGTGGAAAATTTGAAGCCAACTAAGTATCTGTCAGTAGGAGACTAGTGAAATAAATTATGGATCATCTTTTTAAATGTTAGATCTACATTTACTTACATGGAAAGGTGTCCTAGACATCCAGTCAGATGAAAAACAGCTTACATAGTAATGGATTCCAAATTATGATTCCAAACCTCAATTATTTTATTTATACGTATTTACTTATACCTATGCATTTAGAAATCAAGAAATACATGTATCACACTGTTAACAGCTGTAATCTCTGCAGGGTGGGATTACCAGAGTACCTTCACCTTTCACTTTATACTTCTGCACTATTCAGATTACTTGTAACAAGAATTTAATTTTCTTAGAATTAGCACCAAAAACTTAAGTTACTTCCACTTTGAGAAAAAAGGGTAAGGAATCTTAGAGGAGGTTATTATTTTCTCTTTAGGTCACTAAAATTACAATTCAACCTTTTTTCACTCCACTTTCAACTTTTCATACCATCTTGTCCAACAGCACTAAATTGAATGTTTTTTGAGAAAAGAAAATTTGAGTTCCTTTCTGATGAGTGACAAATATATAAAATGCATACAACTAGCAGACGTGGAATAATTGGGACACAAAGTCAAAGGCTATCATATATATTTCTAGAGCAATGTGGTGATAATCGCAAACTCAAACAAAGTCATTTATGTGCTACAAATGTATTACTTGCTTATCAGCTTCTGATTCATTTACTTTTGAAATTTGCTTATTCCTTCTGTTAAAACATTGCTAAAACCATCAGCCAGTTCATCTTTAAGAAAATGCACACTGGCTCTCGTGTCATACTGATTTCTCAATGTATCATTACGCTTAAGTTATTCTACACCAAACAATGCTAATACTCTGAAATAATAATAGATTTCAGCCTTGCTACAGTATTAGGTTCCAACATGCGGCCATCTTTGCATGTTAAGAATTAATACAACCTGCCAAGAGCCTCTCGTCAGTTTTGCTCCCAAGTTCTCACACACAGGCTGTGTGCTTTGCCGTCAGACACATTTTATCCAAATAATCTTGCAAAGCAGTCATATTTTGGAAATGTCAGAATTAAAAATCATGTTCTGTATGTGTGCAGATGGCAAGTCTGGCTGCTGTAAGCAACAGAAACTCAAGACCCAGACAAGCAGAAGTTCTTTTCCAGGAAACTGCTAACAGAAAGCTCAAGCAATATGACGCTGCAGACAATGCCCTGGAAATAATTCATTAAAAGTCATTATATAACCTGAATCACTCTCCTGGAAAATCTCAGCTGTCCTCGCTTCCCCTGTGAAGGGGAGCTATACTTGACTCCACCGAGATGGTGGAATCCTTTCTTGGGAGATGCAATCCCCTGTTTAACTGCAATAGTCTACATATTGTCCTTGACAGTTCAGTTTGCCATTCAGCCAGACTGTAAAATAACAATAGCACTGGGGCACCATCTGTTCCACCCAGGTGTGTGTGTTCTGTGACTCTGCTCCACTTGCTGAGTATGATGGGGTGGGGGGTTGGTCTCTCAGCTTCTGTTTGGTTTTCATCGTTTAAAGTGCCTTCTGAGTGGCCTGAGAGCATGGTTTTGTGCCTGGTACTCTTGTGTCATTATGTTCCATCTCAGAACATGACGAGTCACCTGTACGTGTTTGTGCCTGAAACAAATGCAGTGTTTTCACCTGAAATAGCGTAGGCCCAGTGAGTTTAGATTTGGCAACGGCTGTCTCTGCTCTTGGTGAAAGGATCTCTGCCAAGAAGTAAGAGGTCCATCCAAAGCACAATTTTCCTGTAGGTTTTGGCATTCTTCGTAGGAGCCACGCCATAGTAACAAGCAGAAATGAGCGTGTCTTAGTCCCTTTTGTACGCTAGAACAGAATGCCATAGACTGGGTAACCTATAAAGAGGAGAAAATCATTTTCACACAGTTCCGGAGGCTGGAAAGTCTAAGATCTAGGTGCTGGTATCCAGGGAGAACCTTCTCGTTATGTCGTAATATGGAGGAAGGGGAGAAAGTGAGAAGAGAGGCAACCGAATCCCCAAAGCCTCTTTCTAAAGGCAGTAAGTCCACCCAACAGAGGGGTGCCCTCCTGGCCTAATCAAGTTTTAAAACCCCACTTCCTAAAACCATTACATTGGCAACTAAATTTCAACGTGAGTTTAGAAGGGTGAGCATTCAAACTACGGCAGAGAATGAACATCTGGCCAACCTCAGAAACCGTTTGAAAGCAAACATTTCTCCAGGGTTCTCAGGCTGGCCGAGTTTTCTTCTCCTGGCTTTATTTAAAGTAACCTATCTGGGCCAGCAGATGAACTGCAGTGGGATAGTATGAATGTCATAAAACATGCATGTATCCTCATTTTAAAGTGGGAAAGATAGGCCCTTCAATGATTACATAGACTATTAAAGAAAGATGGTCTGAGTGTCCCCACCTAACAGTCCAGATGGAAAAGATGGTAAAATCAGAGTTCAAAGTACACAAAAATAAATGTTTTGGTTTATTTGGCTAGTACAGCCTGAAGCAACCAGAAGCAGGTTTGACATTTGCTCGGCCACTCATGTTTTATCATAAAAACTCACATAAATTCTGTTTTCTCCTGTAATATATCTGTAACGTTCATGTCAAAACGTTACCAACATTTCAACATAAGGGGAAGGAAGAGCCATCCCTTACCTGTTTTGCTGCATAAGTTGCAAGATGCTACATTTATACGCTTCTTTGGAATCAGGAAAACTGGTCCCTGTTGAAGAGCTGCCATTGCACCTCAGAGTTGGCAATAAGCAACTTCTTGTCTCTGTTTTGGCATTGCCATGCTTTGAGAATCCAAACTTACTCACGAATCATGCATTAAAATAACCCTCTAGGAAAACGCATACATACACACACGTGCACACACACACACTGCACTGCACACATCAGATAAAGTATTGAAAAGCCTGGCAGGAAGTAACACCAGAGAGCAGCATTTGAATGAAGGAGATGTGAACTCAAAGCAAACAGACCATATTGATCTCAGATCCTACCTAATTATGGAATTACCATTGTCTTGTCCCCTGGCGTTGTGGCTTACTTTGTCTCCTGGCATTCTTTTTCTGGTGACTTCTCTTCAGCCTGTTTATTTCCTCAATATCATTTTCCAAACTCACATATTTCAAAGTAACACCCTGTCCCTCAGGTTCTTCTCTGTTTCCTGTAGCACACATAAAGCCAGTGCCTCCTTCTCGGGCCCACTTTATGTGCTCCAGCCCTGCTCGTGTCCATTCCCAATGCTGGCTGCATGTCTTTCCCATGGTCCAGAGAACCCCCACCAATGAAAAATTCTGTTGTCACCTGAGTTTAAGCCTGGTGGGACCTTTGCCTGTCACCACTCCCCTTGAGATCCTGTTCTTTTCAGGACACCTCAAAGAAATGACTTTGCAAAGGCAGTTAAAGTTATTAGCGTAAAAATATGATAAGACAGGGTAAGTGCCAAGAAGGATAGAAAGTAGATAGCAAGTGCCTTCTTCCTCTGCAAATGAAGAGAGTGACTGGCATGGTTATGGGAGCTAGTGAAGGAGGTCTTTCGGAATGCTATGAAGATGTATGTGAAACACTTGCAGATTTAATTATTCATCTCTTTTAAGATCCACTGTCTCCAGGAACTACATTATTGACCAGCAGGTAGACACATAGACTAATGCCTTAGGTTGGCAGTACATAGAAAACTGTTAAATTCGGCCTTTTAATCCAGAAATTCTTCTAGGAAACTATTCTAAATAAATTCTCCCCTATGATTCAAAGATGACTACATTCAATGATCGTTTTGATGCAATATCAATTGGAGTTAAATTTGGAGACAACTTAATGTCCATCATTAGGAGATAAGTTAAAGAAATTATGATACATTAATACTGTGAAATATTATGCAGCCATTAAGAAGAATTAGAGACCTGAAGAGACCTTCAAAATACATTGATAAGAAAAAAGGCAGACAGAACAATGGGTACTGTATGATAATATTATATATATACATGTTTGTGCATGTGTACATGAACATATGTACATTGTATGTGTGCAAATGTAGACCCAGTGCTATCCACATAAAGTTTTATGCAAATTAGAATTATCCTGCAGAGCACTTTATTTCTATTTGTTGGGGGGGGAAGTTATAATAAATAAATCATTAAAAACCCAAACAGAAAAATGAACTTTCCTTCTAAGACCCTCTGCGAAGTTACATTCTAGATACCAGAGCTTTAATTGACTAGAAATGAAGTAATTAGAACCTCAACCAATTTTTGACATGCTACCTCTTAGAGAAAGGTGAAAGTTCATCATTAGAATAAACTTATTCATATCAGGGATAAAGCATCTACTTCTCCCACCCCAGAAGGAAAAATCCAAGTCATTCCCTAGAATTTGGAAATGGTCTAATCATACACACTTTTCTTGTCTTCAGAAACTGTGCAATAACTCCAGAAATCACAAGATCCTCTTAAAATGCTCAATTATCTTTAGAATACTATAATCACATTGGAAGAACGTAGATAGATACATTCTAGAAATACTTCTAACAACAGATTAAAACAAAACAATGATATTAGCTCTAAATTAAATTTTAAGTGTTTTACACATAAAAATCCCACTCCTCAAGCACTTATTGTAGTTTCAATTTTTACTCTTAAAATGATGTCAACTAGAAGAGAATAAAATAAACATTTGACCCAAAATCCCACTAATGATTTGTAGTTTGGGTTAAAAAAAAAACAACTTTTTTAACTCAAAACATTTTAGGAAGTAGTTGATACTGATGAACTTCATACCATCTTCCCTCAGGGATAATAGCAAGTAGGTTTTAAAGACTCAGAAACCATCACACAGTGTGCCCCCCCCACCTCTTCGTACTGCATTTACATCATCTGAAATTCTTCAGACACCATCTTCCAATTCAGTATTAACCACTGGGGAGGAAAAGACTAGGGGGACACTTTTGAACACTTATTGGAAGGCCGGTTGCCTCACCGGGAGCTAAATGGACACACCCATCCCTGTCCGCGCCTGATAACTACGTCATCATTGCGAGACGTCATCATTCCGAGACGTCATCATTCCGATTACATTACTCAGCATCTGGCCTGGCCACGTGGTTTGCCCGCAGCCACCCCTGCATACCACACCCAAATCTATACTCAGCATCAAACTATGCACCCAACCCCCAGCCTGTAGCTGGAAAAACCCCTGCCAAAACTTAAGGAAGCCCCGCCAAAACCTGCCCAATAGCAGCCTGCCCCGCACGTCCCAGCCAGCCCACTTACCGGTAGTCCCGCCTGCCTCCCAATAGTAGTTTGCCCCGTCCCATCCTGTCTCCCTATAACCAATAAAATTGCCTTCGCTTTGTTTCCCCAATAACCAATCAATCACCTCTAATCCCTGTAAAATCCCAGGCCCTGGGAAGTCTAACGCAACTTCTCTGGCCCCTTTCCCGGACCAGAGAACCTCGCCCAGGAGCTGAATAAATTGGCTTTTCATTTTCTCATACTGGCCTCAGTTTCCTCATTTTGACTCGGCAATAAACCTTACACTTATCAACGTTGGCTGTTGGAACAATTTGTTACCTCCACCTCCATAGGGCCCCCACATTTCCTTTCCTTCTGACTTCAGCAGAGGCAGAGAGCAGGAGTCCCACTCCCTCCCTGCTGCTGATCTTTCCTATGGTATTCAAAGCCATTGGTAAGTTTCCCTTCTGCCTCAGGAAAGAGAAGCCCACCATGTGAAAGGGAACATGTATATATTTCTTAAGTTTTCGGAGCATCCTCAAAAGCACAGGGTGGGAAGAGTAATCCACCACCACTCTTCATAAAACAAGAAAGACATCTGCCGTGTCCTGCCCGAACGAACAGTACAGGATGTTCACCTGGACAGTTGGTCCCTGTAAATCCCGACAGACGTCCTGCATATGCATCTTTTGGAGTCTATCAATATTGATGCTGTGTTTATGAACTGAGTCACCATCAACCAAGGTCTCTCTTGTCCCCTCCAGCCTGCCCTAGGTAAACACTTCTGTGATTCTAAGCCTGCGGTTTCTGGGAAAACAGTACATCTAATTTTTCTCCTCATTCACAGAAATCATCTGTTCCTGCCATAAGGGCCTGTGAGAGGTCAAAGATTGGCATCCTACCTTTTCCAGGTAAAAACCTCAGCCCTGTATACAGATGACCTTCCAATTCTGCAGACATAGACCAAGAGAAAATGTGTGCTCAACATCTGGCCACAGACAACTCCACTGTTGTAACAATGAAGTGGTATTTCCCCCAGGATGGAAACACGTGCTCAGGAGAATAAACAAACCTCTGAATGCTATCTGTAACAGCTCCATCTGCTGGTTCCCAGATAATGTTACAGATCTGACAGGTGGTCATCGATCATATTGATCCAATAATAAACAGTGCATTATAATAGAAGTTTTGTCGTTTTTCTTCTCAATTCATCCAGAACTGCTCCTGCCCCAGACACCAGCTAGCATACGCAAACAGCAACTGGGGAGGCTAAAATGGAGAACAAGGGTGGCTTTGGAAGACAATCTAGCTAAATGGAGAACTCTCCAGAATAAAGGATATAATAAAGGAACAGTGGGGCCCTGTCTGTCCATCTTTGCAGCAGCAAACAATAGAGCTTGCTCTCCTGTCCCTTGGGTTTTCCTCCCCTAAGGTGGAGGTAGTGATATTTGTAAGTCGGGTCCAAGTGACGTTAAGAGGATTACAGTAATGAGGCCATGCTTGGTATGCTGTGAGCTCCTAAAAGTCATGAGTCATATAAAGACAGAGGCATTATAATTACATCTTTATATTCACTGGAAGTTGTTATTAAGCCTAAAATCTCCCATTAATTCAGTGAGAATTAGATGTCTATCAGAGACATACAGTTAGATATTGTAATATCAAAAAAAAAAAAGTAGATTTGGTGGGAAAAAAAAAAAAGATGTGAAAGGGCCATAGTAGGCAGAGCTCAAATAGGCCAAGTTCATCGTTGCTTCACCAGCAGGAAAAACAGGTCCAGGAAACTTTCTTGTCCTTTTAATTTAATACATATATGCCCACTTTCCTAATGGGATTGCTATCCCAAATTATTTTCATCTGCTTAAAAAGTCATATACCATGAAATCCCAGAGGCCAGCCACCACACTGCACACCCAAACCCAAGGCGTTTGTACTCAGAGACAGGCACTAGAATCGGACTAAATTTTGACATTATCAGGGTACGATGGCTTGTAGGCTTTGGGCCTTCCATGATCTCCATCACTCCCACTCTAAATCCATCCAAAGTGCCCTGGGTTAAACTGTGCCCCCTCCTCTCCAGAAAGAGATATGTTGCAGTCCTAATCTGTAGTCCCTCAGAATATGACTTTATTTGAAGACAGGTTTTATAAACTTAACATAGTCAAGTTAAATTTAAGTCATTAGGGTGGTGTCTAATTCCAACATGACTGGCATCCTAGTAAAAAGAGGAACTTTAGAAACATGGACAGATGGGTAGAGACAGAGAGAAGATAGTCATCTACAAGCTAAGGAGAGAGGACTGGAACAGACCCTGCCTTCACCACTGCTGCCAACCCCTTGACTTTGGACTTTTGGCCTCCAGAAATGGGAGACTATAAGCTTCTGCTGTTTAAGCCACCCAGTTTGTGGTACTCATTACTGTAGCCCCAGTAAACAAATACATCCAGTAAACACACAGTTTAAGTAAAAAGTTAGCTCGTTAATGTATCAATTGAATTATTTTAGAACAAGTCTAGAGTCCTTTCATTCCCTCTGTGACAGGCAGAATGGCCATGCCAGTTTCTCTGAAATGAAATCCTTACAATATAAAAAGTTGATCTGCAAACAATTTTAAATGTTAAACCCAAGAAGATTTATAAATTCTCAGATGATCTCTAAATTGACAAGAGGAAAGAAAAAAAGGAAACCTTTTCCTCATTGCCAAGTCCTTTATCAAGTTCACTTCCATGATGCTTCCCATTGAAATTGAAAACTGTCAAAGAATCGCTGAGATTTATGATGACTTGCTTCTTTCCCCAGCAGAACATCAACACCAGTTAAAATTTGACAACCACAATCTAGATGACAATTTTGTGATTGGGTCCAAATGTAATTTTTTCTTCCCCTGCTGCTGTAATTGACCAGACCTTATCATTTACTTTATTGTGATATCAGCCATGATACCTTTTCTCCCAAAAGATCACCCAAAGCATGTAAACTCACCGGGGTCAGATAAATATTAACTTCTCAAAGAAAACCCTAGAGGGCTCAAAAGCAAAACTTGTAATTCAGCCGATGGATTGTGCATCACCTATGGGAAGCTGTTCAGGATGGGGAAAGCATAACCAAGCATAATTGCCTGCCTTCATTCTCCCACTCCTAACACGTTAGACACGTCAGAGAGTCAGCAGCCATGAATCCAGAAAAATTCCGTGAAATGCCAGTCCACTCGCTCTGCATACGTTTTTCTAAGTGTTCTACTTCCAACATTTACATTTACACAATGCCTTCTAGGAAAAACCTAGGCTTGTTGTTTCTTCTCCGTGTTGTACCTGCCAGAGCAATATGCCGTGCCTTGATATCCCCTTTCTTAGTGGGTAACTCATAACCCCCATAAGGAGTAAGGACAGGAACTGGAGGGAGCACTGACTGTGATTCATGCAGTGCGAGACAGAAGGAGTTAGCCTATGGTGAACCCACTGTGATGAGAGACAATTGTCCCATCCTCTAGACTGCCTTGAGCCTGGGGCCCTCCTAACCACAGGACTCAGTGCAATCCAGTCTTGCTCCAGCCTAGGGCTTCCCGTCTGTAAGATAAATGCATCATGAATGCAAATCCTCCAACCAAAAAAGCCAAAGGATCAGGCTTACATGTCAAATTTAATACTACTTTAAACCAATGTTACTGGAAAGTGACATGATTTTCCACTGCAAACCTCTAGTCTTCTGCTGCAGCTTCTTACTGCAAAGCAATAACGTGATGCCTGAATCAGTCATTTATTTAGTCTTGAATGCCAGCGGCTGAGATAAATAGTGTCCCTCATTGCCACCAACAGAATGGATCAAAGAGAAGGAAAACACTACAAAGGAAAACAAAATTAAAAGAAACGGAAATGAAGAAGAAAAACCAAGTACATATAGAAAAAAAAACAGGAGAATTCAGGCAACGGATGCTACAAACCACTGGGCAAAAAGTTGTTGGGGAATATGAGAATATTTACACAGTGACAAAGAATACTGAAACAACGCCAAAGGTCACTCATCCCTCAGTGACTTACTACTCACTAATTCATGAGGTGATTTGATGGTCACCACCTTAACCAAGTGATCAAACTTAGCCTCTCTAGTAGAAAAACATTACTTGCCTCCTAATGAGATGCAATGTGACACACTACAATGTGGCATGCTTCCCACAAATGTGTAGCATATACCTTATCATGACTTCAGATCTGGCATCCACTTTACGGTTATTCAGGGGTAGAGGAACAAGGCAGATAACACCAGAAAGAAGCAATCTGGTAAATCCAGAATGCAGGATGTTCTAAAAATGCCCTGGGTTCTCAAAAGTCAATGGAAGGGAGGGAGGGAGGGAGGCAGGGAGGAAGGAAAGAAAGAGGGAAGGAATGGAGGGAGTGAGTAAGATAAGGAAGACTGTTGTAAATCAAAAAAGCAGAAGGACATTAAAATATTTTGAAAACCAAACACAGTACATGAGCCTTGAGTAAGTCCTGATCTGGAAAAAAATAGACTGACTACAACAATACATTCTGTTTTTGGTAAAATGTGAGAAATGTAAACAAAGAATTAATATCACACAGTATTATATAACTATTGTTAATTTTTAAGGTGGGGTAACGGCCTTGCGATTATATTGAAGAGTTCTATTTTTAGGAGATGCCTGCTGAAATATTCCATGGGGAAGTTTCTGCAACCTTCATTCCAAATAGTTCAGCAAAATGAAAGTACACTTATACAGAGTGATAAAATGTATGTGGCAAAATCCTAACAAATGTTGAATCCAGGTGGAAGGTATACAAATGTTTACTGTTCTTTCAACTTTTCTGGGTGTTTGAAAATGCTCAGAATAAAACTTGGGGAGATGGAAAACAATTTTCAGGATCACTTGTCTTTCCCCAATGCCTCTCTCCCCTCCAAGCTTCTAGCCCAGCACCTTCTAGCCCAGATAAACAAGAGCTCCACTGACTTTTTAAATAGCTTTATTTTATTGAGATGTAATTCATACATCATACAATTCACCCATTTAATGTGTACATTAACGTATCCATTTAATTTGTACTGCATGTGGCTTTTAATATGCTCACAGAGTTGTGCAACATCACCAAAATCAATATCAGAGCATTTCCTCACCCCAAAAAGAAACCCCACACCCCTCAGCCCTCAATCCCCAGCCCCCCAGCCCCTAACTCCCAACTCTAGGCCACCACTCGTCTAGTTTCTATATCTAGATGCATTGGATTGTTGCCTCTTGAAGATTTTATACATGTTGCCAAATCTTTGGCTGTTGCCAACTCTTTAACAAAACAATCTCTGTCCTGCAGTGTCTGATACCCCAGTTCTTTGGTTCTCTGCAAGAGATAAGAAGGAACTGGTATCACTCTTGGCTTCTGAAAGCCCAAGAGCCTGATAAGACCATGACTCTTGCCTTCTGGCTCTGCTACAGAAGGCACTGAAGGAAAAGCAGCAGTTCTGCTGGGAAGCAGAGCCTACCCTTTCACTTGCTGAGGGCCCAGGGAGGGGCATTGCCCATCTTCAGCTCCCCATTGTGCATTGGGATCTTTGCAGATGCACATTGCTTCCTGACAGCCCCTGATGGTCTGGGTTGGGGGTACTTACTTCCTTCAGCCTCCACCTCAGCTCTCACCTTCATTGTGCCTCTTTGGAGGCCACACGTGAGGCTCAGGTAAGGTGTGAGCAAGGCACTTAGCTTCCTTGATTTAATCAACTGTGTAGCAGTGCCAGCAGTTATAACAAGCAAAGAGCTTCTCCGTGAGAGGTCCACTGAATAACCCTTTTCAAGACAATTCCATTATATCCTAGTTCAAGTCAAAACACGCTGGAGTATTTGTTTCAGCTGATTGTGTGTTGACTTGTAAGTGAGAACTGATCACTCCCAGAGAGGAACACCACAAGCGCCTTGTAGCTGATGGTGCCTCTGTGGAAAGCCATTGTGGAGAAAGGTTTTTCCAGTGTGAAAATCTGTGAATTTTGAGTCCATGAGTAGGACAGGAATGTTTCTGAAGTAAAAATAGCATAAAAAATGGTAGAACTAAGGACAGCATGCAATCTGTCGAGGCTGGAGGGCATAGTGTATGAAGTTTAGCGCTGGATTGCCAAATAAGCCCAAAGAGAAGACACAGGAGTTGTATCTAAGCAGTTGTATTTCATTTAAAGCTTGCTCCCCACTGCATCTTCTTTGTCATGGATTTTATTATCAGTTACCTGGTAGATGCCCTGCTACATTTGCTGGGTTTAAATGGGTTTTCCTAACTAGGGAATGATGCAAAGCCTGGCTTGATGTACTCTTTGCTTTGTGTCTCTCAGTTTTCCACCCTGGGAGTACCAGACACTGACTTTCTAAGCTTCTTGTCTGCATTTCAGTCCCTGCCTAGCACGTATCCGTGGTACATGCAGGAAGAAAGCACGAACCTCTTCACAGGGCACTTGTTAGACAAAGACACCCATTCCCACAAGGACTACGAATATGAAGGCCTGTCTTCAAATCCCCTTGTCTAATTTTGTTAATTAAGCAGTATTTTCACCCAGAGCTTCCACTTGGAGGTAATGTAAACCCAAAAATAAACTCTATATTTTGGTTTTTAACCATAAATAAAGATGTAAAAATCCAAGAGAAATGAGTGAAAAACAGTATAATTTTCCAAGATCAATCACTGCTTCAGGCCTGAGGGGAGCCCCAGGTTTTTCTGCAGTTAACTAAAGCTTTCTAGGAACTCATCTAAGGCCCAGGAGAGCAAACCCAGAGAGTCACTGTTGCTGCTCAGCACATCAGGCTAACAGGTTCATTTTATGGCTCTTTTGCCCCTATCAAATGGGTCTCTCCTCCCCACCCACAGCCCATGTTGGCTCTCCCCTTCTCTCCCACCCTCTTCAACAGCATCATTTTCCACCCTAACAGCCACCTAAGGACAGTTATCCAGTGAACACAGACCCGAGGTAACTGGTAATAGTAAAGTCAAATGCTTATGTTTTTCCCTGCAGTAGGGCAACATTTTTCATCTCTTATTTTCCTTGGCCAGAAGGAAGATGCCATTCAGGGAACCCCAGGTGTTTTGAAGATGAAAAGGAAGGTAGGGGGCCTGGCTCAGTGCTTATTAACCACAGAGAGAATTTGGTTCACTTCAAGAAATAGTAAAATAATGGCCAGGGAGAGACAATGAGTCTTAATGAATTCATGTGAGTAAAGTGTGAGGTGACCAGTATGGGGACATGCAGTCCTGAGGCAGCCTTCTGAAGAAGGAAAGCAAAACGATTGTTCTCTATTAGGACAGAGTATCTACCTCCCTTTCCTGAAGCACCCAGGGCCGCCGGATTCCACCTTCGAGACCAGGACTGCCTCTCCCAGTGCCCTGGCTGCCCTTTAATTTAAATAAGGCAGGTGACATGCGACACTGGAGTGACCACCGGCCCCAGGCGAGAATAATTTCAGGTGCACCCTCAGCCAGATGAACTGCCCCACTTCCCAAAATTCTTCCCTCAGGGCTCAGGAGACCCCACCCTCAAATCCCACCCATCCACAGAGCTGGCATCTCCAGCTTTCAAACACCACCCTTACTGTGTCAGAACGAGGTCTCATGAAACGTTATCAACCGCCTGGAAAATAAAACAGCCTCCCAGGGGCCTGTAATAAAAGGAAGGCAAGAGCAGGAGAAACAGGAAAGCTACGGAAACAAACCCCAGAGGCTGCCTCTAATCCTGGACAGGTGGCATTTTGGCACAAGCGCACTGAAATCACTTCCCTCCTGGGCTGCAAGGGTGAATCCCTTTCCCGGGAAGACAGACAACCCTCAACCTGAAGAGGGGATCGTGCTGGGGGAGGAGCCTGGAACCGGGGCGAGCGGTCCGTGACCTCCAGCGAAGTCGTGCTATCGGCCTTGGATCCGCGTATCTAGTGTAAACGCGGTTTCACACATAAATAACGTGCCACATCTGGTCCTTTGGTTTTATGGCGTCTTAGCGACCGAGCAATTTATAGATGGCGACCTTGTTAACCAGCAGTCCGGGCTCGCCAGGGGCTGCGGAGTCCAGGGCTCTGCTGGGGGCAGAGGAGGGGCGAGGGTCGGGAGAGACTTGGGGTCCCAGATCTCCAGCTCAGAGAGGCGTTGCAGAGAAGGAACCTACTCGCGTGTTTGGGGGCGGGGGGGGGCCGAGGCAGGGGTGGAAGCCCCCTCCTGCAAAGCCGGCCATGTGGCAGCTGAAAGAGTCATCGAAGCCCAAGTGTGTTTGCGCTCATACCCAATTTATTACTGCTGAACATATGGCCAATATTTTGACTCACGTCAGTCCGGCAAGGAAAACAAACAGGGCGCGCGGCGCGGGGGAGCGGCCCCCTCCGCTGGGGCCGCGCGGTGGCCGCGGGGCCGGAGCCGGGAGGGTGGGGCCGCCGGGCCGGGAGCCTGGAGCCTGGAGCCCCGAGCCGGGAGGGGGAGTGCTCGCCGGCCGCGCCTCGCCACAGCCCGAGCGTCCGCGACTCCGCCGCCGCCCGCGGCTCGGGATAAAGAGCGGCCGGGACCTGCGCGCTCGCTGAGCCGAGGCTCCAGCGGCGCAGCCGCGCTCCAGGTGAGCCTGCAGCTCGCGCGCGTTTCCGGTGGACACGGGATGGGGGTGGCGCGGGGCACCCGGCCGAGCCCGGGAGCCGCAGCGGAGCCCGGCGGTGGCGGCGGAGGAAGCCCGGTGTCGCCCTCGCTGCCAGGCGCGGACTGTCTGTCCTCCTGCCGCAGCCGCCCGGCGCGGGAACGCGCCCTGGGCACGGTCCGCGCGGCCCACCAGCGGAGAGGGGTCTCGGGGCACAGCCGTCCCCGCCGACTGGAGCCGGGGCTCCGGTTCTCGGCGGACCCCGGTTGCGCGCCCCTCCGTCTCTCCGATCCTGACTTGGCTGGGTCCCCAAGCTACGTAGTCCGGAAGCAGCAGGTGGGAAAGTGCGGGGCCTCTGAAGTTCTCCCCGACTTCGCGGTTCACGACTGGGGTGGAGAGCACTCGAGGACGAGCAGGGCCCCTCTGTCGCGCCTGCAGTCAGGAAAAGTTTTACCTGCCGCGGAGGCCAGGTGCTCCAGCCGCCGCGCACTTTCCAGTGCGGTAAGGGAAAGCGGGACTGTCTCTGGGGCTGGGAAGGTGCGGGGCTGGAAGGCGGAGGAGGAGGGAGGGACGCGGAGCCCGCGGCGGTCCCCGCCTGCCGGGAGCCGTGCGGTCCCCTGAGCCCCGCCCGGGACGGCGCGCGGTGGGGGAAGGGCGCAGAGCGAGGGGGGTCCGGGTAGGTGGAGGACTAGATAAAGACGCGCCTTGAAATGCGGCGGGGCTGTCGCTGCTGCGCTAGGAGTGAGAGGAGGAGCCGGCGCGCGGAGCGCCTGGCCAACTCCCTCCCCATCGCCCAGGGCCGGCTGCGCCTCCCTCCGCCGGCGGGGCCCGCAGCGAGGAAGGGGCGGCCGCTACACCCACCTCCGCCGGGTAAGTCGCCCCCTGTGCATCGCGTGAGGCTCGGGATCTGGGATTGAGACAGAGGCAGAAGTCCCTAAGGTAATTTGGAGATGGTGCCCAGTGGAGACAGAGGCTTCTCCTCAGGCGTAACTGGAACGTGAGGGGACTGTGGTGATGAGCAGAAGGGCAGGAGGCAGGAGTCGCAGACAGGAGGAAGCAGGGCTGAGGGCCGGTGCTGTGAACTGGGGTCTCTGGACAGGCGACTGAAGCCTGGAGTTTGGGAGGCGATTGTCGCCCGGGCCGCGCCTGGCGCCAGACAGTTCTCGTTTGTGTCAGTAGAGATCGCCAGAGGATCAGAAATGAACCTTGGTGGGGTCCTTGTCTCCGAGGGGCGCCCCCTCCGCCCCAACCTCCTCCCACAACACACACGCACACACTACCAGGAGGCCCTTTGGATCGCCTCTGGCGCCTTCTCGACTTTGGTGGCTCTTGGGGGTGGAAAGGGGGCGTTGCGTCTAGGGGAGGGTTGTGGGCCTCTGGTGCCCACACTGAAGAGAGAGAGACAGAGCCCTAGGATCCCCTTCTCTGTGCCCAAGGGCCCGAGGGTGCGTTCCTGTCCTTCCCGAACCAAGCCCTTAGCTCGAGCTAAGAGCGTGCCTTCCCCGCGCCACCGACGACTGCTTTTCCCATCGGCCCGCCCGGCCCAGCTTTAAGTGCTAAATGCAAACCCGTTAGGAGAGCGACTGGTTTTCCAAAGTCTTGTGGTAATGATTTTGTCACGTGTTAAGAAGTAAATTCAGATAAGAAAGTGCTTTCAGCGCGTTTCCTAGAGAAACCCAAATCTCCCGTATTGAAATCGCCCTCATCCGGGGAAGGTCGGGTTTGGCTGAAAGAACGTTCCTGAAGGCAACACTGACGATGCGTAATCTCATTGTAACATATTTAATCATTAGAGCAGCGCGAACGAATAAAGGGAAGGGGTTCGCCCGGGGGGGACGTGGCGTTTGGTTCCCCAATAAACCCATGATAATGGATTGGCTAGGACAGGCTCGTTTGGCCCGAGGGGGGCTTAAAGCTACGTTTTTAAATAAAATATTGGAGGGAGGCCGGTTCCATTTTGTAGCGCGCCTGGAGCCACAGTTCGTGTTCAATTTAACACCCATGAAAGTTAAACGGCTTTCCTCGCCTTTTATTTTATTGGATGCATTTTTAAAGATCTCATTAAAGTGCATTTATCAAAGTCCTAACATATGCCCGCAGGGTCTCATGCCCACACAATGAGGCTGATTAATAGGAAGACAAATACTAATTCCTATTACTATTTACATCCTCGGGAGATATTTGCCCCTTTTTTGGTGGGAAGGAGGCAGATAATTGAGAAAGTGTTGTATATTTTGCCTTGAAAAAGAATAGGGAGAAGGGAGCTCACCTAGATTCCTTCCTCCTGAACCCACGGAATTAATCGCAGGGGGACTCCAGGCTCCAGGTCCGAGGATCAGTTCTCTCCGTGGCTTCAATGGGGTACCTGCCACTCTGGAGGAAGGGGATGGGGATTTTCCTCCAGACACAGAATCTGAACTCAGTCTCAGTCTCTGGGCCTGGAGAACTTATCTACCCAAGGCCTTCTTAGTCGACTTGGGAGGCTTGTCCATCTGAGAGGCATCCACTCATTTTTCACCTCCTGGGCCAATTTAAAGAGTTACTATAATATGGACCAAAGGGCGGGGGAACTCACCTTGGACTTGAACCCAAAGCAGGTTGAGATTTCCTTTCCTTTCACACTAATGCCCACTTTCTGGTCCACCTGTCCAATGGCTGTGAGTCTCTCCTGCCAGAGATCTGCCAGGCACAGTCTGGCCTCTTCAAAGTTGCAGGCTAACACAGCTTTAGGCCTCCACAACCTAGAGGCTTCACTCCGCCACCCCACAGACAGAAGGGATTTCCTATTACCCTGTTTCCTTCTCCAAAGGCAGCCGGTGAGGGCAATTGGAGCTGGGACTGACTTTCATTTTCTGGTTAAGAAAGGTCCCAGCACCGACTAGTATTCCTGGGGTACATTCCACGATTTCTTTCATCCAGGACGTGAGAGCTGACACCCCTGCTTCCTGCAACCCCTGCTTCTGCACTGGAAGGTGAGGCTGAAGTGGGGCTGTTTTGGAGATGCCATCCTTAAGGTGAAGTCTTTATCGCCACACTCAGGGACCACACTGGGTGACATTTTCCTTTCTCATTGATTTCAAGTGCATGCCACGCTCTGAGTCTCCAACCCGAGATAAAATAAACCTTCCCCGTCCGACTAAACCTTTGTGTCCGCGCCGTTAATCCTTGCTGGAGCAGGAAGGTGCAACGCGCTTTGTTTCCGGAGTGAATGAAGACAAACGCTTGCACCTTGGCGCTAACCAGACAATAAACTAATCCACTTGAAGGTTGTTATCTGAGATGGGATGTGCGGGGGGCGGGGGGGGGGGGGGGTCTGAGAGCTCAGCCACATACTGTACCAGGAAAGGAGTTTCTTTTCAACCCTTTTTCATTCCAAAAAAAAAGAAGAAGAAATGAAATGAAGTCAAACAAATTAGTGTTTCCAAATAAAGGGAAAAGACCTTGTGTTTATAATGATTGGGAGAGCTTTTGTGGGTGGGGAGTGTGAGGGGTGCCTCCTAGGGCTGCTGAAGCTTTGGGCTCCTCAAGGTCGCCCCCTCTTTAGAGCAGGCCCCAAGACCGCAGCCCCCACCTGGAAGACTTTTTCTGCCCTTCATTCCCCTGGAAGACAGGAGACAGGTACCCTGCAAGCTTCCACCATCGGCTTGAACGGGGAAGGATGCGAACACAGGCGGCCTCCCAAGAGGCCCCCGTTGCCCAGAACAGAGATGGGGGAAGGGACGGATGCCGTCCTCTGAGCCCAAGAGAGGCTCCCCTCCGTGGGGAGTGCCGAGGCCTCGCCTACTCTCCCGTATCTTCCTTTCTTGCCTGGTTTGCTGTTGTTTAGGGCTCACCACCGGCCCCCAACAGGGGGCGTACCGCTGAGGCGTGGGAGGGCAGCAGCCGAGAACCCAGGGTGCCTCTGGGCGGCCCCCGTGCCCCGGAGCGCAGAAAAGGCGCTCGTATTTGAGCTACCTGGGAAAGTAAACAGGTAAACACTGGGCCGACTTAGAGGACCACTTGTCCTGGAGTGGGGCCACTTAGCCTGTGTACATTCGCCTCCCCTCCCGGGCCTCCGGCGATTGTTCAGCCTCCCTGCGCCCGCACCAGCCGCCTGAGCCCGAACTCAATCCGTCGCAGAGCCCAGAGCAGCAGAGCAAGCGAGGCCCCCCTCTAGCCTCCGGGGGCACAGGTTCGCTTCCTCCCCTCCCCTGCCATCTCCCCTGCCTGGGACTCTCGATGCGTCCATTCTCAGCCTAGGAAGAATGAATAGAGCTAGAGATGGGTACGGAACCTGAAGCCTCAATGCGAAGAAAGATGGGGTTGGGGGTCCAGCTGTTCAGGTGACCCCAGCAGGGGTACACGGTGTTCGGGACGCTAAGGAGACGCCAAGCAAATCTCCTCCGGCCCGGGGCACGCTGAGTTCAGAACTTCCAGCACCCGCCTCAACTTCCTCCCCAAGCACGCAGCAGAACGAGGCATCTTGCAGAGCGCCTATGAGGTCTCCAGACCACTGCAGCTGAGCCCAAAGCTCAAGCCCAAACTTGACGGAACGGAGGACATTGAACTCGCTTGGGTGCAAGATGGTACCTGGAAAGAATTTCCTAAAGAATGCCGAGTGTGGGAGACGAGTGGAGCTGAAACTGGCGCTGGCAGACACTGGCAGGGTGGAGTGGTGGGCAGTGACTGAAGGACTCTCCGGAGGGGGAAGGGAGCGGGGCAGGGCCTCTCAGTATTCGGGGTGTGCGGGAACACAGGAAACGGAAGCTCCCGGGCTCTAAAAGGCCAAGCTGTGGCGCTCGCCGGGAGGCCTTTTGGGGAGTCCTCAGGATGCAATCACCTGTTTAATTGGTGCGGAAGAGGTGCATTGGGCGCCTTGGCCTCCAGGCCCTTTGGGCGCAAACCGGGCCCAAGAAATTGAGGAGACGCTGGACTGTGCTCTGCGCACCGGACTTGCCCTGGCCGCCAGCTGGGCCCGCGCAGGCCTCCCGGCGTCCACAGGCCGCTCCTGGGGGACTTGCATTTTATGATCTTCCACTAACAAGCCCAGTTTCTCCCCTTCAATTACGGCCTCCCAGCGGTCTCCCTGTGCCTTTTCATTTGCAAATGTTAACACTCCGGAAACGAACGCGGGAACCACTCGGGCGACGAAGTGATGGGGAAATGGAGTCTCGAGGTCCCGGGAGAGAGACTGAACTCTGTGGACCCGGCAGCACCGATCTCGGAAGAGGCCAGGCCGAAGCTCTCTCCAGTTCCCTCCCTTCCTGCTCAGCTGCCCCCAGGTCAGGGGAAAGAAAAACTGGAAGACTCGCTGGGGTGAGCTGTAGGAGGGCCCGAAGTCCAGGCGGTGGCCTGCAAAGGCAGGGGAAGTGGGCGCCTCAGGTGTTCCGGGAAGAGGACACCGTGAGCTGAGACACTGAAGGATTCGGCTGATCATTAGGGTCAAAGGGCAGACGCAAGGGCAAAGCCGGCCTTTTGAGAAATGGGCTGAGGGGCTCCTTCTCTAGGCGCCTATAGCAGCACTCCCTCCCTATGATTAATTCCAGGAGCCAGGATTCCCCTAGGAAAGCAATCCTCTCTCAGGTGCTCTGTGGACCTTGCAGGCTCCCACGATTGAGGGGAGGGGACTTGATCAGTAGCGGCGGTGCTGATTTAGATCCTGGGAAGAAAGGCCCACTATGCTGGCGAAGGGGGAGAGAAGTTGGGAACTACATGGAACTTCAGCCGGGTGGTTCCCAGCTGAAGAAATGAACGTGCTGTGGAAGGCCTCTGCGGGCATCCCCCACCTAAGGTGGCTATGGGGATGTGCGAGAAAGGACACTCCCTGCCAAAGACCTCTTTGCCACCCCACCCAAGAATTTGCCTGGCCCAACCAGGCTCTATTCTGGATCCCCATCCTGGAGGCTGCCTGGGTCCCCAAGAGAGCCTCCACCCCCTTAAAACCGAGGAATAAGAGGAGGAACAAAAGGAGTGTCTTTGCTGCAACGCTTGGGTAGAGGAACTTTTTTTCTCACCAGTTATTTATTTAACAGCTGAGTAACAATGGCAGCGGCAGGCCCACCCCCCTCCCCACCCCGCCCCTGAATCCAAACTCAACTCTTCCCGGACTCCTGGAGAACCAACTTCCCTCCTCCGACGGGGCAGATCGAGGAGCTCCCACGTGAAAGGAGGGGGGAGGCTGAGAAAGAGACTAAAAAGCGAGGAAAAAGAAAAAGCACTAAAAGTAATGGGTTCGAGAAACACGATTCAAACCAGTTTTTAATTCTTGCAGGGAAAAAGGGGGGGAAAGGAGGGGAAAGGAGAAAAGAAAAAGTAGGAGGAGAAAGAAGAATCGGGGAGCGTCGACATGAAGGGGTTTCCTTAATATTGTGGACGGATTCAGAAATGAATGAAGAGATAGTCCATTGAAAAGGGTTGAATGCCATGACAACTAGGAACAACCTTAGATTTATTCCAAACAGTTAGGACACATTGAAAGAGAGCGTCAATCATGTATTATTTCGCCACTGAAATAAATGCAAAAACCGAGCCGGGACAAAGGCTTCCAACGGGAGCGGGACATTTGTCTACATTTCGCTCATTGTCCGCAGCTTAGCAATCGGTTTGTATTTGTGTTTGCCCGGGTCCGACCACCCAGGACGCGCCGACGAGGGGCTCACTCTAACCTGGGCCATTGTCACCCACGTCACATACTGGGGGCGAGGCAGCGAGGGCTGCAGAAAGCCGCCGAGCAGCTCGCGGAGAGGCGCCCTCACCCGGCGCTGGCAACCCGGGGGCAGCGGGGGCGCGGCGGCGGCCACGGCAGCTGCGCGCGAGGAGGACCCGGCGCCCGCGCGGTCAGCTTGGCCGGCGCCAAGGCGGCCCAGGCTGTGGGAAGACGAGACCTGGACCCTGCAGGGGCGGCCTTCTGTGCCCTCCCCGCCCCCAGACAAAGCTGCCTCCAGACGCTCCTCAGGGGCGAACGAGCATCAGGTAGCCAATATATCCCACAACACATAAAAATTTTCTTTAACTGAAGGAGGGCCATGATATTTTCCAACCCCAGCGCCAAGGAGGAGGTGCAATCCCGGGAAAGTTCAGTTCCCAGAGCGGAGAGTGGTTGGAAACTTCACACTAACCTGACTTAACCTGGAAACGTGGAGCGCGTACTCCGAACGCGCCCGGGGCGCTCAAAAGGAGACCACACTAAAGAACTCGCACGGGAGAAAAAAAAACTGGGAGAAAACGCAGTGGCGTCGGGCCGCCCAGCGACCCCCCACCATCGCAGCTTTCTGGGTCCTCACCCAGGCTGGAGAAACAACCCCCCCCCCCACCCCCCCCCCCCCATCCTGCCTTCACGCTGCTCCACCTCCTGTCGGAGGCTGGAGACGGAGGGGGCAATAGAGGGAGGGATAATAGAGCGCAGGAAAGAGCGGGGCCGTCTGCCCTTTCCACCACACGGGGAAAGCGGCCCGCAGAGTCCAGAGGCAGCAGGGCCGGGGTCCGACCCCAGCTGAAGTTGGAGCTCCCAACTCTAACCCCGCCCTCCCCGGGACCGCCCGCAAAGCAGAAAGTGAACTGTGCGTCCTCCTTGGCCGCCAAGAGGTGGAGGCGGGGGCTTGGGGGTGGGAGGTGGGGGGAGGCGGAGTGAAGGAAATAAATGAGTCTTTAGCAAATAAAGGGTGGCTGGAGGGGGGCGGGTCGCTTGGTGGTGGCTCTGGCCGGCCGGGAGCGGAGCTCTCTCCTGGGTTTCGGGCTCTCTCGCGGTTAACTGGAATCAATTACTTGCCTTGTCATTTCTAGCACTCATCCTTAAGCCTCAACCAAAATATTGACCTAGGAGGCTTACAGAAGTTGGGCTCTTGCCATTTGAACCGGATCTTGTTTTGGGAACCACCAGCGATGGAAAGGAGAGATTTCCGCAGCTCGGCCTTCGCCCCCTCCCCCTTTTCCATAGGCGCCACAAATCGCCAATTTTCCGGCTTGCCTGGGGTGGGCACGCGGGGGCGGGGAGGTAGGAACCAGTGAATGTTAAAGAGGGTTTTTTTCCCTTCTCTTGGTTTCTGTTTTGTTTTCTCTTCTCCTCCTCCCCACCCCCACCTTTTTTAAGATGCAATTTGTTAAAACGGCCCTTTCAAGTGTGTGGACTCGCGAGCGACGCGGTGGCCCTTTGTATGTAAATATTGGGTAAAAAAAAAAAAAAAAGGCTCGCCCCGTCTTTGCAATTAATTGACACGTTACACCTCTCATCTTGCTCTAGAGGGCCGTTGGCCGGGAGCGCGGAGCTCCCCAAAACCCACAATTTCACATCTGCAAATACTGTCTTCATCCACTTGACTCCCAAGACCCGCCCACACGTGGCCAACCTTTGCGTTTTTAATATCTCTTCCCCCTTTTTTTTTCCACCCTTCTCCCGCTCCCTCTCTCGCTCCCCCTCCCTCCCTCTTTCTTTCCCTCCCTCCCTCTCTTTCTCCCCCTCTCCCCCCCTCCCCAGGTTCGTGAGTGGAGCCCAGCCTTATATGGACTGATCGCTCGGGCAATGGCCCATTTTTTCCTCGCCACCAGCCGCCACCGCGCGCCGAGCGGCCGCCGGAGCCCGAGCTGACGCCGCCTTGGCACCCCTCCTGGAGTTACAAACTAAGGCCGGGGCCCGCGGCGCTCGGCGCGCAGGCAGCTCAGCTCCCTACGTCCATTTCCGCGTGTTTTCAAAGAAGACAGAGGCACTGGGTTGGGCTTCATTTTTTTCCTCCCCATCCCCAGTTTCTTTCTCTTTTTAAAAATAATAATTATACCAATAATTAAAGCCAATTCCCTCCTCCCCTCCCCCAGTCCCTCCCCCCAACTCCCCCCTCCCCTGCCCGCCCGGGCTGGGGAGCGCCACGAATTGACCTAGTGAAGCTACAACTTTGCGACACAAATTTTGAGGTCTCGAACCATGTCGCTGACCAACACAAAGACGGGGTTTTCGGTCAAGGACATCTTAGACCTGCCGGACACCAACGATGAGGAGGGCTCTGTGGCCGAAGGGCCGGAGGAAGAAAACGAGGGGCCCGAGCCCACTAAGAGGGCCGGGCCGCTGGGGCAGGGCGCCCTGGACGCGGTGCAGAGCCTGCCCCTGAAGAACCCCTTCTACGACAGCAGCGACAACCCATACACGCGCTGGCTGGCCAGCACCGAGGGCCTCCAGTACTCCCGTAAGTAGCGAAACTTGGCTGCCGAGGCCGTGGTCGCCTCCATTCCCGCGGCCGCAACTCGGGCTGGACACTGGGAATGAAAGGGGAAGGGGCCATGTAAGCCCAGACCACCTCACATGGATCCCTAGAAAGATTTTTAACACTTGTATGTATAGGACGCCCTCTGCCCTCCTCTTCAAGCCCCCTTAGTTCCGGGAAAGGACTTGGTCTCTGAGATTTTTTTCAACGCGAGAAATTGAGGAGAAAGAGGGAGAAGGGCTATACCTCCCAGGGGCTGGCATATGATGTCAACCGGGACTGAGGGCTCCAGCCGGACCCCCAACTCCAGCTGCTGGGAGGGACTGGAGGTAGCCAGCGAGTCTCCTTCGGTAAGGGTGGAGGGTGGGGAGGCTTCGGGTGGCCCGGGTATAAATAGCTCACCCTGCCCCCTGCTCTATCATAGAGGACGCTTTGTGCGGTGCAGGGGGTGTCTAGAAAACCCGAAAGCAGAAACCAAAGCCCCCAAAAACCTGCCTTAAATGGCCGAGGAAATCAATGCTGGGATTGTGGGGTTTTTCTTTTAAAAATCTGCCCACGTCTCTCCCGAGAGGAAACCGCTTAAGGGGGCCGAAGCCCTTAACCCGTAGTGATCTTTGGTGCGCCACTCCCCCCAAATTCTCACCCACACTATGGGAGCCCCTAGAAACGCAAGCCCCAGCCCCCTCTCCTGCCAATTTCCCTCTTTACCCTGGGAGGCCTAGACGTCTTCGTCGGCGTGGAGCTAGTCAGGGGTCACAGCAAAGGCAGCCAGGTTGGGCTGCCAGGCGCAGAGGGCCAGGGGCGCACGGAAGATCTGGGGTGCTCCGAGTCTGGTGCAGGCTGCGCGCGGCCTCCAGGCGCCTGACGTGTTTCTTTCTCCCCCTCCCCCAGTGCACGGTCTGGCAGCCGGCGCGCCCCCTCAGGACTCAAGTTCCAAGTCCCCGGAACCCTCGGCCGACGAGTCACCGGACAATGACAAGGAGACTCCGGGCGGCGGGGGGGACGCTGGCAAGAAGCGGAAGCGGCGGGTGCTTTTCTCCAAGGCGCAGACCTACGAGCTGGAGCGGCGCTTTCGGCAGCAGCGGTACCTGTCCGCGCCGGAGCGGGAGCACCTGGCCAGCCTCATCCGCCTCACGCCCACGCAGGTCAAGATCTGGTTCCAGAACCACCGCTACAAGATGAAGCGCGCCCGGGCCGAGAAAGGTATGGAGGTGACGCCCCTGCCCTCGCCGCGCCGGGTGGCCGTGCCCGTCTTGGTCAGGGACGGCAAACCATGCCACGCGCTCAAAGCCCAGGACTTGGCAGCCGCCACCTTCCAGGCCGGCATCCCCTTTTCGGCCTACAGCGCGCAGTCGCTGCAGCACATGCAGTACAACGCCCAGTACAGCTCGGCCGGCACCCCCCAGTACCCGACAGCACACCCCCTGGTCCAGGCCCAGCAGTGGACTTGGTGAGCACCACCCCAACCAGACTCGCGCACCAGGCCCAGGCCCCACCCCGGCGGCGGCGGCGGCGGCGGCGAGGAGGCCTCCGGTCCTCATGGTGGTTATCATTATTATTATTATAAATATTATTATGGAGTCGAGTTGACTCTCGGCTCCAACAGGGAGGCGCCGGGAGGTTGCCTGCGTCTCCTTGGAGTGGCAGATTCCACCCACCCAGCTCTGCCCAAGCCTCTCCTTCTGAACCTTTGGAGAGGGCTGAACTCTACGCCGTGTTTACAGAACGTTTGCGCAGCTTCGCTTCTTTGCCTCTCCCCGGGGGGACCAAACCGTCCCAGCGTTAATGTCGCCACTTGAAAACCAGAAAAAGACCGACCCCTCACCCCTGCTTTCGTGAATTTTGTAAAATATGTTTGTGTGAGTAGCGATATTGTCAGCTGTCTTCTAAAGCAAGTGGAGAACACTTTAAAAATATAGAGAATTTCTTCCTTTTTAAAAAAAATAAGAAAATGCTAAATATTTATGGCCATGTAAACGTTCTGACAACTGGTGGCAGATTTCGCTTTTTGTTGTAAATATCGGTGGTGACTGTTGCCAAAATGACCTTCAGGATGGGCCTGTTTCCCTTCTGGGTCCAGCTCCTTGCTTTGTGATTTGTTTGGGTTTGGTTATATTTGCGTTTTCCCCTGCTTTCTTCCTTTCTCTTTTTATTTTATTCACTGCAAACATTTCTCAAATATGGAAAAGAAAACCGTGTAGGTAGGGAGCCCCCTGCCCCATCCTCCGGGCCTTGAGCCCCGAACTTGGAGCTCAGCGGTTCGGCGCGGTTTCCCCAAGAGCGCCGGGCGCTGAAAGCTTTCCATTTTTTAAATAAGAATTTTAATAAAAATCCTGTGTTTAAAAAAACAAAATGCCCGGCCCTCCCGTTTGTCCGACTTCGCCGGGCTGGAGGTCTGGGGCTGGGAGCGGGACCCGGCCGCCCGAGGGGCTCCCACCGGCGGTTCCTCTTGGGCGGGGAGGCCGGGGGCACCGTGGCTCTGGCGCGGGCGGGGCTCCTGGTGCAGGCCCCTCCGACCACAGGCTGCACCCCGCGCCTAGGATTGGGGCAGGGGCGGGAACGCTGGGCCTCCGAGCCGTCGGCCCGAAGCCCAGGGTCGCCCACTCCCTCCCCACAGGCCTCTCCTCTGGCCTCGCACGCTGTCTGAACCCCGGGCGGCAGCGTCCGGCTTCGGAAGGAAAAGTGACTTAGGGAGCCGCAAAGGCGAGAGAGCAAACCCCCCTCTCTGCCCAAATCTACGAGTGGCTCCTTCAGCCTGAGAAGCTGTTGAAGCCACTACACTCGATGACTTTCACTTTGTTGCGTTTGACTTACCTCACGCTAAGAAAGTGGGTGGGTGGGGGTCTGAGGTTAAGACTGGCTGCTTTCTCGCCACCCCTTTTCAAAATCTGCGGACTGTTGCCGGCCTAGGAGGCCGCTGAGGCCGAGGGTGGGAGCGGTCAGGGCGCGCTAGGCTTTGGCTTGGCGGGGAGGGAGGAGTGGAGGGGGTGTGGTACGCGGGGTCCTGGGCCCGGGGGAGGGAGGGGGAACTGCCGCCCTCTCTAGGCTCTTTGGCCCCAGGGAGCCAGGGAGCGAGAGTATTTGGCAATCCCAGCAAACCGAGCCTACCCCTTCCCTTCCTCTCCCATACTTTCCGGGCTTCCTGGCCTCTTCCGGGGGACTGGATCCCCAGCCTCCTCCCCTCCAACGTTCGGCGGTGTGCGGTTCCCCCAAGTCACCCCCTTGGGTGTTGGACTGGGTGGATTGGTAGGAAATAGAGGTCTGAGGGTGAGGTGGGCGCCCAGGACGGAAAGTGGGCACACAGCCCCCTGCTCGCCCGGGAAGGGCGTATCTGTCTTTCCAGTGGGGAACTGATTCCGTCCCACCCTTGTCGCTGGGGGCAGATCTCCTTGGCGGATGCTAGCGCACACTTGGCCACGCGGGGGAGCGTCTCAGGGGGCCTGGCGAACTAGAGGGTGAGCCTTTCTTCTCTGGTTTCTGAAGATAGTAGGGGCTGTGTAGCTCAGAGCCCAGCGGGTGCTTCCATACGCGAAAGTCGGCGCATTTGGAAATTGTATCTGTTCTCTCCGAAGCTGCACCGTCAAGGCTGGGGGATGGGGTGGCAGTGAGGAGGCCGGGCAAAGGGAGCTGTCCCAGATGACTTTCTCGCTCCCTCTAGTTGATGATCAGGTTTAATTCAATATCTAAAGCAAACATGATTATCCGTGCGACCAAATCTGCGCGTCCATAGCACTCAGCGCAGGAGCCCAGGGACGCGATGACACTTTATTCCCGCGTTCCACGCCAGCCCTGGATAATTGAGGGATCGGGAGTCTTTCTAATATCCTGGTAAAGGTCCTTTCCCATCTCCAGGCTTATCCTCGGGGAAAGGGCAGTTTTTCTAAATGCTAAAAGATCTCTCTTTGTTCTCCACACTAGCTTGGCAATGTTTGGGGGCTTATGTCCTGCTGTTTGTAAAGGCCAACGAATTTCTCCCAGATAGTTTGTTGTGCACTAATTGAATGCTCAACGTGCCCGGGTACTAACCACTCCACATCCACTTGCAACTTCCCCTAACCCCAAAATCCTCTGGGAAGAAAGGTGGGGGTTTCCAGTCTCTTGGAGTGGAGTTGTCAGAAGGCCTGAGGCAATTTTGATGTTCCAGGCCCCAGAGTTTCCAGGGTGAAAATGATCACAGGAGAACCCCAGGTTTCCAGAGAGGAAGGGGCAAGCGTGGAAGGTCCTCACTCTGGCAGGCTTCCACCACTTGCTCATTGAGGACACATTTGGAGCGGTGGCCAGGACCGCGGGCCTGCAATCTGGGTGTGCACTCCTGCGGTCGGCCGGGATCCCGGGAGGTGGGCCCGGCGCCCGCCTCTCTCTGTCCTCGGGTCCCCACGGAGTCAATAAAAGCGCCTGCAGAGCCCTGTGTGGCCCTAACCCGAGCGCCCTGGGAGCGCACCCGGCGCGGGGTCCGCTTCAGCAGTCTATCTTCGCCCAATCTACAGCGGGCGGTACAAAACCGCACAATGGGAAAGCTGGGAGCCGGAGATGTTAGAGGCGTGCATATTAAAAAGGGACAGAGAAAGGATCGCGGAGACAGAGAGAGGGGAAGAGGGAGAAGGGGCCCGCCCCCCACCCCTCGCCCCACCCCGCACCATTCAGCGCGCTTATCGCGGGCAGTGAATCCCGGAGTCAGGCAGAAGTCTCCTTGGGGTTTTGTTGGGCCTGTCACTGGGTCCCTTTGTCATCCGCGGGCTCCATGCTGGATTCCATATGGCCAGCTGGGCCGAGGGAGCGCGAGGAGGGATCCGCACAAAACCTAAATTGTGTCCGGCTTTCAAACCCCGTATTGTTGTCTGTGAAAGGAAGACGCATTAAAAATTCGTGCTATATCTATTGGGGAGGAGGCTGGAGGAGGGGAGAAAAAGCCACCCCTGTCTTTGATGGCTTCGGAGGGCGCTGGCCCCGCCTAGGCCCCGTGACACTGAAAGCTGGATCTCTCATTCTCTCTCTCTCTCTCTCTCTCTCACATAATCTCTCTCCTCTCATAATCTCTCTCTCATAATCTCTCTGTCTCATAATCTCTCTCTACTTTCATAGTCTCTCTTTCTCTCATCATCTCCCTCTCTCTCTTCCTCTCTTCTCTCTCCTTGACTCCAACGCTGGGACGGGAGTCAGCGAACCTGCACCTTCAGGGTTTGAGCTCACTTGTGCTCACTTTGCTCGCTCCTGTGTGTGTATCAAGAAACTTCTGCCTAGAAGCTCAGCGCCGTCGGACCGTCCTAGAACTCCGGAGGCAACTCAGGGTACCCAGGGACCCAACCGACCGGTCCTGAAGCCCCCGCGAGCGGAGCCGCCTTTCCTCTCACCGCGAGAAAGGTTTTGAGAGACTAAGGGCGCTGCTCAATCGGGGGCCCAGCTAGATAGACTTGGGCTGCAGCCGGTTCCAAGGGGACTTGCCCCCCAGCCAGGCCACTTGGTTAGGTTGCCAACCCCAAAGAGCTAAAGACGCGCGTTCATTTGAATTATGCGCGGGGATCCATCCCACTGGCCTCTTGGTGCGATGGGAAACCACTTCCCAGAACTTCCTCCAACAGCGTCTCTCCCCGTGGTGGAGGAGGGAGATACTTCCTCTTTATTTTTCAACGTCTTCTGGATCTTGTGCTTACAAAATTCAGCACCAGGGAGACACAGCAGGGCTTCCAAGGAATTTGCCCATTTTTTGCCTCCTCTAAGAGGTCCAAGTTGGCGCGAGGCAGTTGGAAATAATTTGGGTCATGCTCTCTCCCCTGCAACTGCCAGGTCAAAACTCCCATAAGCAATCCCCAAATAAACAATAGGTACTAAGCAAAAATAGTTTACGCTGAGCTCTGTGGAAATATAAAATGCAACCCAGTTACGTTCCCCACAGACAAAGTCACTCAACCCTTAATAAACAGAACTGAGCTGGTGGAAATTCCGACCAATGGGAAACTTGGATGCGCCCCCTTTCCTATTTAGCACGACGGTCATATTTAGTAGCATCAGATAATTTGGTACGAGTGGAAGCCCTCCTTCTCAACGTTCCCCACCTCAGACAGGGAAATAACTTATTTCCTTACCTATTGACTGTTTGGCTTAGTTGAGACCTGGTGTGGATTTCTCGAGCCTTTTCAAGAGCCTGGTCATTGAAAAGCTAATCCAATATTTACCGAGCATAAGGACAGTTCTCAGACGTATTTATTAAGGCCCATCGCTAAGTGATTACTTGGACTGAAGACAAAGGCCAGGGGAGGGGGCGTCTAGGCGCACCAGATCCTGCCCCTGTGGGTTCTCCCCACCCAGAACCAGGAAGCCTGGAGCAAGCTTGTGCGGTGCCGACGTTCCCCTCCCGGTGTTAAGTGGCGGGCGGATTAGATACTGTGCTGGGCGGTATTTCAGGAAATATGTACTTGTGGCTTCCTGAGAGGCCAGGCGCAGTGACACTCTAAACCGTGTCGATATATCATCTTTTATCCAGGATCTGCAAATAAACCCCTGATCCCCCCGGCGCATTATAGCCGCCGCTATCTTGCCAAGGAAGCGATCTGAGTTTTATTGCTTTCACCAACGCCCCAAGACAGACAGACACAGACACGCGCGCGCGCGCGCACACACACACACGGGCAAACACACGCACACTGACACACACGCACGCACACACACACACGCACACACACACGCGTGCGCACACACACACACACACACACACTCCCCTCTCTCACTCTGATTTTTAAAGGCTCTATTTTTTTCCCCTCCCGAGGCATCGTTATTAATGAAGAGGCGAAGAGGCCTCAGCGCCGCCAGCCGAGCGAGTGGGGAAATGCGGGCCCGCAGCCCTGGCCCGCGCGCGGATCCCGCGTCCGCTCCACGCGCCGCCACTGGCCCGAGAACCGAGCGTGTGCCGCGCGCTGCCGCCGCCAGGAGGCGCCCGAGCCCCGCGCTCCCGAGCGTCTCTGCGCGGCCGGCCGGGCCCAGCCCAGAGGCAGCTGCGCTTCGGCGGAAGCGCGGCCCGGGTCGGAGCCGGGTGAGGGGCCAGGAGGCGGCGGCGGCTCGAAATCCCGGGGAGAGCCGCGAGTCAGACGGCGGCGGGTGCGCGGCTGCCTGGGAGGTGCGAGTGGACCTGTCCTCGGCTGTGGCTTTCCCGCCGCCCATCCCCGCCCCGGTTTCCGTAGCGTTTGGGCACAGACCACAGCCGACTGGTCCCGGCGCCAGGGCGCGCGGTCTCCACGATCTCAGGGCCCCTGGCGGCGGTGGACGCGGGGAGGGTGCAGGTTTGTGGGGCGGTGGTTCTGGGAAGGAAAGACCCTCGCCTCCCGCCCGCCCTGGATGTGGGCCCTGCCAGAC